TTAGATCATGTTGCGAAATAACTTTTGCATTCTGTCAAGCTCGGTTGCTGTAAAGACGTTTCTTACGCTACTTGACACACTGGTTGGAGGTATGATTTCACTTGCCGTCTCGCTCTCTGCTTGAAACGCCCTTTCAACACGCTGCTTTAGTGTTTCCACTTCAGATGGAAGGCATTGAGGTTCTGGAGGGGGGGACTTACTGAAACGCCATTGAGCGCGTACTTTGTCCAAGACTCGTTTTGGGTCTTCTTCCCTTAGCTGCGGATGATCAGAAATTTTTGTTTTCACCGTAGCTAAAGTAATAGCTTTGTGCTCAATTTCATCCTTGAAAACTGTCTTCATAAGAGCTTCCTTGTCCTCGTTCCATGAACCTCTCGAGGTTTTGGGGACAACAGCCTCTGAAGCAGATGGGCTTGGGCTGACAGAAGTACTGTTTGGTTTGGCTGTTTGGTCTGGATGGTCTGACTGTTCACGCATTATGCTGCGCAGCTGCTTGGAGGCTTGAACTGAGGACTTGCTCTTTTCCTGTAGACGGTAATATTTGTTTGCCGTCTGCAGATTGTGGGCCATCAGGTCTGCAAGATTTCCCCTGGCTTCATTGCTGTCGCTTGCTGTGTGTACTCGAGAAACGGCCGACTTTCTGAGGAGAGATGAGCTAGGATTGCCATCCACTTGAGCCTTCTTCCAGACTGACTTGATCGCTTTGTTTATTTGACTCGATACCATCGGTTCCCCATTCCACGTCAAAAAGACGTTTGAGTTAGGATTAGCAGTTGTGCCAGCAACCTTCGATCGTGCCTCCCTCACAAAAATGGCCATCCAACTGTACAATTTCGGGCTAAATATTGTTCTCGCTGGACCGTGTGTGGGATGAAAGTCTTCTGATCACTTACATGAACAACGTATTCATCATCATGTTTCACGGCACTGTTCAGTTCTCCCATTTTCATGTTTGCAAGGGCTCCAGCCCTGTTGGCATTATCAATTGAAATCTGAAGCAACAAAAAATCTCTGGTAAGAGTGTAATTGGCTTGCGTCATGTCCAAGCAGTGAGCTCCTGACAGCTGGCCGAAGAGACAAATGGCATTTCTTGCAGCTTGGCTTCGTTCGAATTCGGCTATTTGCTTGGGAGTAATTAAAGCGTGCAAGTCTTCTTCCATTTTTTATTATTCCATTCTATTATTCCTGCTTGAAAAGTGTAACTGTCATTCATTATTCCAAGATCGACAAATTTATTTTTCCACAGGCGGTCGCTACCTCATTCACAAAATGGCATTATTCCATTATTACAACAACAACAAATCATGTTATTATTATGCTATTATTCCTCTCCACCGCCCAAGATTGCTGGCGTCATGATTGATTTTTTATCAATATTGTTCTTACTACTGATTTCTTAGATTTATTTACGTCATGAAATACAATAACCTACCTCATTTATCGCGCAAAGTATCTGAATGATTTGAGGCGAACAAACAACCTCCACGTGGTCATCAACCAAAGCCTCACAGGCACTTCGTGTATGAGGGTCTGACGTGTAATCATCGCTGTGCGAATCAAGGGGGGGCCTGGTAGCAATGTTCAATGATGACGTCCTATTTCCCCGTGAAATAGCCTGGCAATTATCTTTGATAGTTGCTTTCCACTCTAGTTAACTGAAGTGAGCAGTCTGTTCAACAGTGTTTCGAGTTTCGATTAACCCTGTACTTACACAGCAACTGTGACAGAGCCACTCTCGGTAAAAGTGCATGTATGAGATGTGCGACTTGATTCTTCTTCATCAATTAAGAGAAACTATATTGTCTTTGTTCATTTTTTAAGAATGCAGAGGTCAAAAAATTACCAAAAGTGATTCAAATTAATTGCATAGTGTAGTGCAGTGCAGTGCAGTGCAGTATACAAGTGCGAGCGTGCTTTCGAGCTGAACTACCGCGCTTTTTGAGCTACTCGAAAATTCAAAATAACCGAGAATGATAAAATGAAGTCACCAAAAAATAACACTAAAAACCCATAGAAAAGTAGATGGTTTCTTAGTATAGCCCTGAATGAGTAATACTAATAACTTATGACTTATGTAAATTATTCAAGAGGAAAAGGGGGGCGTTAGCATTTATTTAGCCGCTCCCTTTCCATCTTAACCAAAATCTTACTAGATATTCCTCCGTAGACACTTAAATTAAATAAAATTCTGAAGATTCCTCTCAAAAAGAACAATTGAAATAAAAACAGAGATGAAATGGCCGGCCAACCATTCAAAAACAATTTCCTGAGATGTTCACGAGATGTTCACGAGATGTACGCAGAAGGCAACTACGAGCGGTCCTGAGACAATTAGACTTACAGGCGTGGTGCATCATATTTTGCGCTACTAATCGCAGTGCCTTCTAGTTGCTGTCTTTGTCTTTTAATGGAATCAATTGCGTCCATCCCATTCCCGTTGTTTTTGAGGATATTCATGATTGAATTTGAGCCTTAGTTTCTTCTGGATCCTTTGGGTAGT